GCCTTCAGTCGACTTCCCTCCCCAGCCAGACCGCCTCTTCTGCCAGAGACCGCCCCTGCAGGAAGGTTCCGGGTCGCTTTTCAGAGAGAGGCTCGTTTTAGGGGCATCACCGCACACTTCTCCCGGCCCAGCCTCGCACCCTGAAGCTTCCGGGCCACGCGCAGCTCGGGGGAGATTTTAAAAACAAACGAGGAAGTAGCCAAGCCGCCCCACCCGCTTCTTCCGCACGTTCGCGCCACACCGGCTCCTGGTCCTGCCAGCCTGTGGCATCCTCCGGGCAGGGGCTGTCCTGCCCACTTTACGGAGATGCAGCCGGAGCTCTGGGAGGCCAGAGGAGGCCTGGGGTCCCGCCGCAGGGACGAGGCGGAACCCCGCCTGCAGCTGGGTCTGACTTCGCCCAGGTGCCCACAGCTTGAAGCCCCCAGGTCCCCCCGTGAGCCCCCTTCAGGGTCTCTTACGCCCTGGGGAGCAGGATCCAGATGCGTGGTCCCAGTCACTGCTCCCGTTTTGGTGGTGGCGTCAAGGACGGGCATCTCAGCACCCACCGAGCCTGCCGGGGCTCTGAGGCTCAGCTTGGGTGCTGGTGAGAGTCCCGTGGGCCCGGTCCCAGGACCCCAGCTTCTTAGTTGGGGACGCTGAGGCTCAGCTCACCTGCCAGTGGAGAAGAGCCTTCCAGTCTGGGTCCCACGGCAGAGCTGGGCCATCACAGCCTGTGCCCTGCATCTAATGACAGCCAAAGAACGGTATGTCCCAAGGGCCCTTCCAAGAGCGTCACCTGTGTTCACTCTAATTTTCTTGAGAACCCCACGAGGTCGGGCCTTTTTAAGCCCCATGTTGCAGATGAACGAACTGAAGCCCAGAGGTGGTGCTAAATAGCTCCTCCTCGGTGAGATGGCCCCTGAGCCGTGGGCCCCAGGCGGTGTCAGGGAGCCGTGAGCTCTATGCTGACTGCTGTGCCGGGAGGGTCTCTCGCAGGGCCCCTGGCTGCTCTGAGCCAGCCCTCCGCACTCACTCATCCTGAGCCCTGGCGCACATGTGCAGAAGGATCGTCACAGGCTCTGGGTGTGCTGGGGGCTCGTTGGCGTGTGTCCTTGCCCAGGAATAGAGAAGTGAAAATAGATGTCTATTTGCTCCTCGAGTTAATCACTGTGCCCGGGGCTGCGTGCTAGGTCACTTCAGTCCTGTCTGACTGTTTGCGACCTTATAGATGGTGGCCAGCCAGACTCCTCTGCCCATCGACTTTCCCAGGCAAGAATACTGGAGAAGTTTGCCATTTCCTCCTCCAGGGCGTCTTCCCGACCCAGGGATCAAGCCCACATCTCTTAAATCTTCCCCAACCCTTTGCTGAGAGTTTTCAGCGTGGAACTGAAAGACGCAGTCACGCACTTTGTGGAGAGCAATTGGTTTTTAATCAGAATGAAAAGTGCAATTCTCTGACCCAGCCCATCCCGCCTCGGAGGGTGCCCCAGAGGTTCACGCATCCATGGCTCAAGGCCAAGTATGTGGAGAACGGTTTGTAGCATCAAAGCCTGGAAACGACGTTGGTGTCCACTCAGGGCTGTGTCAGTCGTGGTAGACATCCGCCCCCGGTGCTCTGCACGCGTTAAAAATGTGACTGATGTGTGTGTACCTGCTGTTCTGAAGTGACCTTGGAGGTTCTCCAGCAGAAACAGTGGTTGCTGGGGCTTCCCGGGTGATGCACTGGTTGAGTCTGCCGTCCCCCTGCAGGGGTTGTGGGTTCGATCCCTGGTTGGGGGGCTCCTGATAGGTTCCCGTGGCGAAAAAGGAGGAGCTGCTGAGTGAAGTAAATGAGACAGGGAAAGAGAAATCTGTAATGTCACTCATATGTGAAGTCTTAAAAACCGACACAAATGAATTTTTTTACAAAACAGACGTAGACAGCAAACTAACGGTTATCGAAGGGGAAAGCGGGGGTGGACGGGTGGATTAGGAGTTCGAGACGGACACACTACTGTGTGTAAAATGGGCTTCCCCGGTGGCTCAGCGGTAGAGTCTGCCTGCCTGCCGAAGACCGTGCAAGAGACTGCAGGAGGAAATGGCAACCCGCTCCAGGATTCTTGCCTGGAGAATCCCATGGACAGAGGAGCCTGGCAGGTTACAGTCCGTGGGGTCGCCGAGGGTCGGACCCGACTGAATTGACTTAGCATGCACGCACATGTATTAAATACATAAACAATCTGTGCACACAGGGAACCATTCGATATCATGTAAAAGCCTGTAATGGAAAAGAATCTGAAAAAGAACAGATACGTGTGTGTATGCATACACACACACCACACATATAACTGAGTCACTTTGCTGTAGACTGGAACCTTGTAAATAAACCATGTGAGTGCCAAGTCTCTTCAGTCGTGTCCGACTCTTTGCGACCCTATGGACGGTAGCCTACCAGGCTTCTTTGTCCACGGACTTTTCCAGACAAGAATATTGGAGTGGGTTGCCATTTTCTCCTCCAAGGGATCTTCCCAACCCAGTGATAGAGCCCACCTCTCTTAAGTCTCCTGCGTTAGCAGGCAGGTTCTTTACCCCTAGTGCCACCTGGGAGGCCGTAAATAAACTATCAGTTCAGTTCAGTCGCTCAGTCGCGTCTGACTCTTTGCGACCCCTTGAATCGCAGCACGTCAGGCCTCCCTCTTCATCACCAACTCCCGGAGTTTACTCAAACTCATGTCCATCGAGTCGGTGATGCCATCCAGCCATCTCATCCTCTGTTGTCCCCTTCTCCTCCTGCCCCCAATCCCTCCCAGCATCAGGGTCTTTTCCAATGAGTCAACTCTTCACATCGGGTGGCCAAAGTATTGGAGTTTCAGCTTCAGCATCAGTCCTTCCAATGAACACCCAGGACTGACCTCCTTCAGGATGGACTGGTTGGATCTTCTTGCAGTCCAAGGGACTCTCAAGAGTCTTCTCCAACACCACAGTTCAAAAGCATCAATTCTTTGGCACTCAGCTTTCTTTATAGTCCAACTCTCACATCCATACAGGACCACTGGAAAAACCATAGCCTTGACTAGATGAACCTTTGCTGGCAAAGTAACGTCTCTGCCTTTTAATGTGCTGTCTAGGTTGGTCATAACTTTCCATCCAAGGAGTAAGCATTGTTTAATTTCATGGCTGTGATCGCCATCTGCGGTGATTTTGGAGCCCAGAAAAATAAAGTCTGACACTGTTTCCACTGTCTCCCCACCTATTTCCCATGAGGTGATGGGACCAGATGCCACGATCTTAGTTCTCTGAATGTTGAGCTTTAAGCCAACTTTTTCACTCTCCTCTTTCACTTTCATCCAGAGGCCCTTTAGTTCTTCTTCACTTTCTGCCATAAAGGTGGTGTCATCTGCATAACTGAGGTTATTGATATTTCTCCCGCTAATCTTGATTCCAGCTTGTGCTTCCTCCAGCCCAGCGTTTCTCATGATGTACTCTGCATATAAGTTAAATAAGCAGGGTGACAATACACAGCCTTGACGTACTCCTTTTCCTGTTTGGAACCAGTCTGTTGTCCCATGTCCAGTTCTAACTGTTGCTTCCTGACCTGCATACAGGTTTCTCAAGAGGTGGGTCAGGTGGTCTGGTATGCCCCTCTCCTTCAGAATTTTCCACAGTTTATTAAACTATACTTCAATTTTTAAAAGGTGGTTGTACCACAGGCTATGCAGTGCGCTTCCTTCTGTATAAAGAAGGCATGCATACAGATAAACAGGCTGACACATACACGGCATAGTTCTGGAAGGATTCCTAGACGTGTGTGACAGCAGTCACTCCTGGGGAATCTGAGAGACTGATTTTTCATTGGACAGCCTCTGCTCTGTTTGGACTTTGAGAGACGGTGGAGCACGTGGTTAAATAATGAGCACACGGTGGGTCCATGGACCGGGTTCATGCCCTGGCTCTGCCGGTCACTAGCTGTGTGATCTTGGGCTACTTTACTTAACTTCTCTGGGCCTCATTTTTGTCCTAATTTGGATGAACAGATATTAATATTTGTAAAGTCCTCAGAATAAGGTCTGAGGTATAGTAGGCACTGACTGCATAGATATTTACTATTATTTATCAATTGCTATTTACATGCATTCTGTTTTTATTTAGGAGGCCAGTTACTGTAAACAGAGGCTTTAGGGTTGGAAAGGAGAACAGGCAGGCAGCCAGTCTGCGCCAGGCACTGATTAGAAAGGAGGTTTGGAGCTTTCCCTCCAGGGTCGAGCCCTTCCTCCCCTGGCTCAGACTCTGGGGTGCAGAGAGGGAGTGGGGAGAGCTCGGCGGGGTGCGCCTGGCAAGGGTGCCCCAGGGCCCAGCAAGCCCAGCGGAGGCTCTGGCGGCTCCGTCGCGGGCTCCTCCACCGCCAGGCCTGGAGACACTGCCCCCCCTGCTCTGGGCATTTGGGGTTCTGCCCCGATCTGGAGCCATCTGCCTCCACGAAGCCCTTTCCTTCCCTCACACCCACGTGCCTGCCAGCCAAGCTCATGGGCAGCGCAGGGGGAGACAGAGAGAGAGTGGGCGGCCTTTGGTGGGGCCCACGGGGCGGGGGTGGCCCCAGGGCACCCGTGGTGACCGAGCAGCCACGAGCAGGAAGCGTCCGGCCGTGCCCGTGACCCTTCAGGCTGACCCGGCTTCTGGAACGCGGGGGCTGAGCGTGACCTGGCGTCCGAGGCTGGAGAGGGGCCACCTGCGGGCCCAGCTCGGAGGCGCTGGCTGGGCAGAGGGAGGCTGGGCTGGCAGGGCCCCCCGGGCGGCGGGTGGCCGTCCTGCAGCTGCTCGTCTCTCTGCGGGTTAATGATTCACCGTGCTCGTGCCATCCTGGGCTCCCGAGGCTGCTGGGAAGCGGGCTGAGAGCGGTCGGCTGACGTGCACCTGTGGGTCGCCAGCCAGTGACCCCTCTCTGTGGCTGGAACTTTGGCCTCAAACGCCCTCTAATCAGATTCCTGGCCTTCTCTTCACAGGCGAGCGGCTGGACAGTGCTGGTCTGAGCTGTGCCCCGTCTGATGGCGTCCTCCCGTCCTCCGCAGGCCGCCGTAGGTACGGTCCTCTCCTCCTGCGTCCCGCCCAGGGCCTCGGGCCCTGGGTGTGAATCTGGCCCTGCTGGCGGTTAGCTGGGTGTCCTTGGGCCAGTGGCCTCTGCAACAGGGAAATAATAGGAGGTGGGCTCTGGGCGGCGGTTGGAGACTCTTCGCCTGCCCACCTGAGGGCCCCTGGGGAGGTGAGCAGGACCCCTGGGGCTGAGGCCCCCTCGGGGGTAAAACTAAAGAACTGCGAGTGGGAGGCAGGGGCTGGGGCGGGGCGGGGGGCGGGGGGGCTGCCCATCCGTCTCCATCTGCTGAAGCACCAAAGCCGGGCCGTCCAGCCGTGGTGGGGTGGCCAGAGTCGGCGAAAAAAAAAAAGGAAAAATACATACTTACGCTGAAAAAAAATTTTTCATAGAAATTCAGTTTGATGTCCTGTATTTTCACGTGGCGATCCTAACAGTGGGCCGTGGACACTGCTGGTAGATCTGGACCACGGAGGAGCTGGTCTCGAGGCCGTCTGCCCTGCTGGGCCCAGCTTCCTGTCCTCTTGCTTTTTCTGGGGGGCGGCCGATGCAGAATCGTAATGAACAGGGCTGCTTCCCGAGTCCAACCCTGCGGCTATCGCCGTGGGCCTGGCCCAGGGCCTTGGTGTCTCTCTGCTTGTCTCATGGCTCACAAGCAGGGTGTTAATAATGACAGCCTCTCCCATGTGATTGCAGGCTTTAGGTACAGGTGGGGTCCTGGCGCGTGCTAACCAATGGCGCAGTGCCTGGGAAGTGTTATCACTGGGCGTTGGCAGGACTGGCTGCCTGTGTTTCGCTCTGAGCCCTGGGGCCGAGCCCAGGGGGAATCTCTGCCCCCTTGAGCCTCCGTGTCCTTCCGTGGCGGGTGGGGCCCAGCATGCTGGGCCCACCTCCTGCATAGCGTGGGCTGGCTTCCTGGGTTCCGGCCCCCTGGACTCGCTGGGGGCTCACTGGGGTTGGCTCTCTGGAGAAGGGGAATGTCCAGGAACATCACAGGCGTGTGTGGCTCCCTCCAGTCCTGCCGTCTGTCAGTCTAGGTGGGGAGAACTCAGTTCAGCTCTCAGTCACCCGGGGATGGGCCATCTGACTTTCCCTTCTGATAAGGCGCCACAGCTAATTTTCTGGGTCTCAGGACCCTGGGAACAGAGTCTGGGGGAAAGGGCATTTCCTGATTCATGGCTGTGGCTCTGGGTTCCGGGATGCCCCCCGTCCCTGTCGTCGGCACCCCGCACCCTTTCTCCTCCACACCAAGGGGCCAGACGTGCAAACTAAGAGCAGTTACTTTATGATGAAATCAATTCAGTTTCTTTGAGGAAACATTTGATGGGTGTGTCTGATGTTGCAGGCTGATACCTGGTTGAAGCAGGCTCTTGGCCACTCTTTCCAGTTCTCTGAGAGCTTCGCACTGTCTTCCCAGAGAAATTCTAATCCCCCCACCTCCTCGAAGCGGTGTTCTCACCCTGTCATCCGCACTTGCATCTTCGCTTGCACTGGGCCCCTCGCTGTTGTTCTCCGCCCCTGCTGTGGCCCCGGCCGCCCCACAACCTGAGCCTGTCAGGCCCTTGCTCCCCGTTTCAGGCCCTGCACAAGGGCAGCCTGGTGCCAGAGCTGTGCCCCAGGCCCTGGCAAGCTCAAGCCCCCTCCTTTCTTTAGCCCTGGCTCAGTCTTTGGGGTTTTACGTTTTTCTCTGGTCAGATCTGCCTGCCTCACCCTGCAGTGAACTCCTTGACATTGAGGGACCATGTCTTACTTTTGTTGCGATCTTCTGGCCCAGGGGTTCCTGGGAACAGTTCACTGGATACTGTACAATCTGTATGATTCAATTAGTCCATCCTAAAGGAAATCAGTCCCAAATATTGATTGGAAGGACTGATGCTGAAGCTTAAGCTCCAGTAGTTTGGCCACCTGATTCGAAGAGCTGACTCACTAGAAAAGACCCTGATGCTGGGAAAGATTGAAGGCGGGAGGAGAAGGGGACGACAGAGGAGGAGATGGTTGGATGGCATCACCGACTCAACGGACATGAGTGTGAGTAAACTCTAGGGGATGGCGATGGACAGGGAGGCCTGACGTGCTGCGGTTCATGGGGTTGCAAAGAGTCGGACATGACTGAATGACTGACCTGAACTGAACTGATAGATTGCTGGGCTGACCGAAGCTATTTGTATTCTTTTTTTGATTTTTAAAATGTAGTGTTTACTTGGCTGTGTCGGGTCTCAGTTGCGGCACGCGGGCTCTCTGTCCTATCAGGCAGGGGCTTCTGTTGTGACTGTGGACTCTAGTTGTGGCCGTTGGCCTCAGTCGTTGTGGTGGGTGGGCTCAGCTGCTCCGCAGCACGTGGGAGCTTAGCTCCTGACCAGTCCCCTGCATCTACTGCATTGCAGTGTGGGTTCTTAACCACTGGACCATGAGGGACGCCCTGCCGTTTGTCCTCTTAGGTGGCTTGGTAAAGAATCTGCCTGCCAATGCAGGAGACCCAGGAGATGCCACTTCGATCCCTGGGTGGGGAAGATCCCCTGGAGGAGGGCATGGCAACCCACTCCAGTGTTCTTGCCTGGAGAATCCCTTGGACAGAGGAGCCTGGAGGCCACAGTCTGTAGGGTCACAAAGAGTCAGACAGGACTTAGCAACTGAACAACAACAACAAAGAGAGAAAATACAAAAGTAACCTAAGTCCCTGGACACAGCCCGGGGGCTGGGTCGCCTGGGGCTGCGCCTGGTCTGTGGATGGGGAGGCTGTCTCCATCTCACCCGGGGTCAGGGCCTGGGCTATATGACTCAAAGCGATAATAATAGTCATCGCGATAATGATTGGGGCTTCCCCGACGGCTCAGTGAGTAAAGAATCCGCCTGCAATGCAGGAGACACAGGACATGCGGGTTTGATCCCTGGGTTGGGCAGATCCCCTGGAGGAGGAAATGGCAGCTCACTCCAGTATTCTTGCCTGGAGAATGCCACGGCAGAGGAGCGTGGAGGCCTACAGTGCAGAGAGTCGCCCAGACTCAGACACGACCGAGTGACTGAACACCACGATAATGGTAGTGATACGACGACCGTGACGATAAATAGAACCATCGTCGTAAGCGTCGCTCACATTTAGCCTGTGAGCCCCTGCCTCCCAGGGGTGCTTTAGTATGTGCCAGCTCATCCCATCCCCCCAGCGCTCTGTCAGGCAGATACTCTTGCTGTTCTCATTCGATGGATCACGAAACTGCAGCCTGAGGGTGAAATAAGGCGACACTTAAATGGCAGCCAGTTTATAGGAGAGCTGGGGTCTGAACCCAGGCTCGTCACTGCAGCGACGCAGGCCGTGTGCAAAGGGGACGCTCCCCACCGTCCGCCCAGCAGATGCAAGTGGGCAGGACCGTGGGCCTTGAAGCCTCCTTGGTCAGGACAGGTCTGCCTCTGGTAGCCCAGAAATAGTTGTGGGCAGGGACTTTGTGGTCACTTATTCCAGTATTTTTAAAAACAACTTTTTGTATTTGTTTATTTTCGGCTCCGCTGGATCTTCACGGCTGTGCGGCCTTCCTCTGGTTGAGGCGAGCCAAGGCCACTCCAGGTTTTGGCGTGCGGGCATCTCAGTTTTTGTTTTATTTGTTTCTGCATTCTCGCCTGGGCTGGTCTTCCTTGCCACGCGGGCATCTCAGTTTTTAAGGTTTATTTGTTTCTGCATTCTCGCCTGGGCTGGTCTTCCTTGCCATGCGGGCATCTCGGTTTTTAAGTTTTATTTGTTTCTGCATTCTCGCCTGGGCTGGTCTTCCTTGCCATGCGGGCATCTCAGTTTTTAAGGTTTATTTGTTTCTGCATTCTCGCCTGGGCTGGTCTTCCTTGCCATGCGGGCATCTCGGTTTTTAAGTTTTATTTGTTTCTGCATTCTCGCCTGGGCTGGTCTTCCTTGCCATGCGGGCATCTCGGTTTTTAAGTTTTATTTGTTTCTGCATTCTCGCCTGGGCTGGTCTTCCTTGCCATGCGGGCATCTCAGTTTTTAAGTTTTATTTGTTTCTGCATTCTCCCCTGGGCTGGTCTTCCTTGGTGTGTGGGCATCTCAGTTTTTAAGGTTTATTTGTTTCTGCATTCTCGCCTGGGCTGGTCTTCCTTGCCATGCGGGCATCTCGGTTTTTACGTTTTATCTGTTTCTGCATTCTCGCCTGGGCTGGGCTTCCTTGGTGTGTGGGCATCTCGGTTTTTACGTTTTATCTGTTTCTGCATTCTCGCCTGGGCTGGTCTTCCTGCCATGCGGGCATCTCGGTTTTTACGTTTTATCTGTTTCTGCATTCTCGCCTGGGCTGGGCTTCCTTGGTGTGTGGGCTTCTCTGTCGTCGCGGGGCACAGGCTTCCCCCTGCAGCGGCTTCTATTCCTGCGGAGCTCGGGCCCTGTCGGGCTTCAGCAGGTGGAGGTGCAGAGGCTCTGTTGCTCTGTGGCGTCTTCCCAGGCCAGTGATCGAGCCCTTGTCCCCCTCACTGACGGGCGGATTCTCACCCCGGGGACCACCGGAGACGCCCTGGGCTCCTCATCGCGGCGGCTTCTCCGGTGTGGAGCGCCGGCTCTCAGTAGTCGTGGCTCTGGGGCTCAGCTGCCCCCCGGCAGGTGGGATCTTCCTGCACTGGGGACTGACCCTGTGTCTCGTGCGCTGGCAGGCAGATTCTTCTCTAAGCCACCGGGAAGCCGTATTCCAGTATTTTAAAAAATCATTTAAAACTGCAGCCCACAGACCTGCAGATAGGAGCGCATGTGTGTATTCAGCAATTCCTTATTCCGTGCCTGTCGTGTGCTGGGCACAGTGCCAGGTGCTGGGAGTGCGACGGTGACTGAAACAGACTGGAGCACCTGCCCTCAGGAGGCCTGCGCTCTAGCAGAGGAGACAGACAGAGAGACAGGGGGAAGTGCAGCCTGCCACGTGCGGATGAGGGCCGCAGAGATAGGCAAGGCGGGCAAGGCGTGTCGGGAGCCACAGGTGTCACCCTGGGAGTTCTGGCCCCGGCAGCCTCGGCGGGAGGTGCAGGTGATAAATAGACCTGGAGGACCCGAGGGCGGGAAACGCTCCCCGGGGAAAGGGCAGCCTGGACCCCAGGACTGAGGTGCAAAGTCCCGAGGCAGCAGCAGCGCGGACACTTGCGTGGTCCAGCGAGGAGGGCCGCACGGCTGCAGGGGAGTGAGCGGGGGAGAGCGCTAGGAGGGTCTGTGCTACACCTGTGTGTATGTGTGTGCTGCATGCATAAATCCGGAACGGAAGGGTTGGCAGCAACAGCAAAAGTAATACCACATGTGAATTTCTTAATGGCATAGTGGTGGCTGAGTCGTCATGTCTGACTCTTGCTACCCGATGGACTGTAGCCCGCCAGGCTCCTCTGTCCATGGGATTCTCCACGCAAGAATAGTGGTCATTTCCTTCTGCAGGGATCTTTCCAGCCCAGGGATCTAACTCAGGTCTCTTGCGCTCAGGTGGGTCTCCTGCATTGCAGGCGGATTCTTTACCGACTGAGCCACCAGGGAAAGACTATTAGTATTATAAAATTTTAAAAAACATCTTCAGTAAGCAATTTATAAAGCAAAAAGCTTCCCGGGAGCCCCTAATTGATTTTATGATCCACCAGTGGGTTGAAAACCATTTGAAGATTACTAATATTGCTGGGAGAAATATCAATAACCTCATATGCAGATGACACCACCCTTATGGCAGAAAGTGAAGAGGAACTAAAAAACCTCTTGATGAAAGTGAAAGAGGAGAGTGAAAAAGTTGGCTTAAAGCTCAGCATTCAGAAAACTAAGATCATGGCATCTGGTCCCATCACTTCATGGCAAATAGATGGGGAAACAGTGGAAACAGTGTCAGACTTTATTTTTCTGGGCTCCAAAATCACCGCAGATGGTGATTGCAGCCATGAAATTAAAAGACACTTACTCCTTGGAAGAAAACTTATGACCAACCTAGACATCATATTAAAAAGCAGAGACATTACTTTGCCAACAAAGGTCCATCTAGTCATGGCTATGGTTTTTCCAGTGGTCATGTATGGATGTGAGAGTTGGATTGTGAAGAAAGCTGAGTGCCAAAAATTGATGCTTTTGAACGGTGATGTTGGAGAAGACTCTTGAGAGTCCCTTGGACTACAAGGAGATCCAACCAGTCCATCCTAAAGGTCAGTCCTGGGTGTTCATTGGAAGGACTGATGCTGAAGCTGAAACTCCAATACTTTGGCCACCCGATGTAAAGAGCTGATTCATTGGAAAAGACCCTGATGCTGGGAGGGATTGGGGGCAGGAGGAGGAAGGGACGACAGAGGATGAGATGGCTGGATGGCATCACCGACTCGATGGGCATGAGTTTGAGCAAACTCCGGTGATGGAGAGGGAGGCCTGGTGTGCTGCGATTCGTGTGGATGTAAAGAGTTGGATACGACTGAGCGACTGAATTGAACTGAACTGAACTGAACTGAATCTGGCCTCTGATGCAGCCTCTGGATTTCCTCTTGAATTCAGCATCACGGGGTCAAGAGTCCTGGGGCTCAAGAGAGACTTCCAGGAGGCCTCTGGGCTGAGTGGAGAGTGGGAACCAAGGCAGATCAGGGTTCAAACCTGTCTCCCCACTTTCAGCTGGATGACTGGGTGCTTCAGCTCACCTCAAGAAATCTCTGTGGCCTCGTGAAAAGTGGGGGTGTTTGTGAGGCTTTGGCAAGGGTCACGTGGGCTCATCATAGACCCCAGGTGTCTGCTTCTCCACCTCCGGGGGAGGAGCTCGTGCCCCTGGCCATGTCACCGCCCGGAGGAATCCACCCTGATGACCTGGGCCTTAGGGTCCCCAGAGCTCCCAGGAGCAGGGCCTGCACCCCCGCCTCATTGGTCTTGTTTCGGTCATCACCCCTGGCAGTCAGGCAGGAGGGTGAGCTCCGGCTTTCTACTGTGCTCACGCAGTGGAGGAAGGGGCTGCTGCTTTTCTTCTTTAAGATTTTTTTTGATGTGGATCATTTTTCAAGAAGTTTTTATTGAATTTGTTACAATATCGCGTCTACATTTTAATGCCCCCTCCCCCACTTTGGTCACATGGCACCTGGGCAGGCATCGGACCCACACCTCCTGCATTAGAAGTCAAAGTCTTAACCTCTGGACCACCAGGGAAGTCCCAGAAGCGGTTTCTTGAATTTCGTACACTTGCACCTAGAACATTCTGCTCTGGAACCCCTCCCCCCAGTCACTGTGGATTTTTGGATTTTTCTCGTCAGAGCGACTACCGGAATCAAATACGCCCATCTGTCCATCCGCCGGTCTGTCCAGTTGCCTCTCTGCTCCATCCACCTCCCCGCCCACTTGCTTATCAAGGCATCTATGGACAACCCTGTCCTCAGGGACCTCGGGCTGGGAGGGGGAGAAATGACAACAGGTATCATTGTGTAACACATCCCGGGCTGTATGCCAAGAGCTACATCTGCTCCAGCGGTTCTCCACTGGGGGCAGTTTCGTCCCCCAGGGGACATTTGGCTGGCAATGTCTGCAGATGCTTTTGGTTGTCATAGCCAGGAAGGCTGGTACACCTCCTGTCGTGGCCCCAACACACAGACCTCGCAGCCTGGACACGAGGCTGAGGAACCCTGACCTACATCTTGGGTCACTCACGTCAGCTTTGTAAGGGAGGTGCCCTTTCATCCTCCGCTTTACGGGGGAAGAGGCGAAGGCTCAGAGAGGTGAAAGGCGCTCAGACAGGACCCGGCGGGCCCAGAGCTCATGCCCTGAACTGTGTGACAGGAGCCTTGAGCGGTCTGCTCAGGGCAGCCCAGGGAGGGGAGATCAGCTTTAGACTTAAACCCGGCCACGCTGTCCCTGGGCTTTAGCGTGGGTTGGGACGAGCTAGCTTGTTGCTCAGTCCCTACGTCGTGTCCGAGGTTTGCATGGGCCAGGGAGATGGACTAAGTGAACACTTGAGGTTCTGTTTAGGTTCAGATTCCAGGAAAGAAGTCTTCCAAGGAAGAAGACTAGGAGACCTCAGCCGGATGAAACAGGAGGGAAGGCGAGGGCTTGTCCTTTAGGACGGAGAGTCCATTTCTTCGCCCGTTTAATGAAAGTTTCTGAGTTACATCTGTTAGTTGCTCCGTCGTCTCCGACTCTTTGTGACCCCATGGACTGTAACCTGCCAGGCTCCTCTGTCCATGGAGTTCTCCAGGCAGGAATACTGGAGTGGGTTTGCCATTTCCTTCTCCCGGGAATCTTCCCGACCCAGGGATCGAACCCGGGTCTCCCACACTGCAGGCAGATTCTTTACCATCTGAGCCACCTGGGAAGCCCCAAATTCCACTTGTTGACTAAGAAGAAATGCACAACCTGGAAACTGAGAATGATGTTTTACTTGGAGGACTTACTGAGGACTGAAGCCCTGGAGGATGCTCTCAGGTAGCTCTGAGGATCTGCAGAGGACAGGGAGGAGCCAGGATACGTGGAGTGTTTGCAACAGAGACCAGGCGGTGAGACCCTCAAAAGGTCACAGTTCAGGAAAACCAGACCCCTCGGGTTAATGAATTCCGCACTTTTTGTGGGAGATGCGAGAGGCTGGGCTTGTTGACGTCATTTCTTTGGTGTGCGCTTCAGCTCTCTACAGCCTGTTCTTTCCCCCGAACCCCCCCAGGGCGCGCCACCGGGGCGCCGCGTGTCCGATGCCCTGGTGCCTGTCACATCCTTTGTTTACCGACCTGGCTGGTGATGTTCGTCTACATACCCCAGGCCGAGACCTGTCCCCTTCAAGGGGGCAGAGCAAATCGTTACACATGTTACAGGAGCAGATGAAGAAACCGGGATGCAAAGACAGAGAAGGGATGCGGGCAGGGGGCCGGCCCCGCCTGAGTTGAGCTTTGAGAGATGACGAGGCAGACCTGGCCCCAAAGGGGGTCTCCCAGGAGGGAGCAGCAGGCTCTGAGGCTGAGAAGCCCTCCAGGCCAGGAGCGCGGCCCCCAGCCCCGCTGCAGCTGGTCTGGGCCCTGGTTCCCCAAACTGGCTGTCTTCAGGCTCAGTCACTCCCAGATAGCTGCTCCCTGCTTTGTGCATGCAGAACAGCTCAGGGCGCCCATCGAGGCTGGATGTGCTCATTTGCACGTATGCAAAATGTACAGATGGAAACAGACACGTGGAAACACACCCAAAGGTGTGTGCCCGCCGCCACTCCCCAGGCAGATGCATTTATAAACCCCTCCTTGCTTACAAAATAGGGAAATAGAAAACAAGAAAGTCAAAGGCTTCCTTGCATGCGAGCCCAGATGCACTCACCTCGGAAGCCTGTCCCTGCCCTCCGCCGACTGCCCGTCTGTTTAGAGTCCCAACCCAACCCCAGGCCCCTCGGGGGACAGGAGGGCCCCCTGGCCCCGCATGGGTTTGAGCTCATCCCTGGGACCTGCCCTCACTTGGACCCCAGCTGCCCCCCACTTGCAGCCGTCTCTCTGGACCAGACGCGGAGACCCTGCCTCGGGCTAACTCCTCCTTCCTTCCAGGAGATCCGCTGCTTCCCGGAGGCCCAGGCCCCTCCCCCGAGGCGGAAGACGACGCTGGCGAGGCCTTCGAATTTGACGACAGCGACGATGACGGGGACACCAATGCCGGCCCAGGCGTCCCAGGCGCCGCGCAGGAGACGGAGGCAGACACACCCCTGATCCACTTGGACTCCACCCCCGTCGCCGGTAAGGTGCTCTGGGAGCCCGATGTCTTCACGGCTCAGGGTCTGCAGGACTCCAGGGCGCTCAGGGCCTCCTGGAGACTTCCAGCTCCCCGTGATGCCTCGTGGTGTCCCCAGGACGCGGGGACCAAAGAGAGACCGTTGGGCAGAAGCTACATCCCATCGCTTCCCTTGGGCCCTGGAGATTCCTAGCATGCCTGCAGCATCTGGTGCGCTCTGGCACGTCGTAAATGGAAGCGACTGGCCGTCGGTTGTGCTTCGGGGACAGTTACCGCCCAGGGCTTGTCTCTCCCAAGCTCCCCCTCCCCGCAGCTCCTTCCAGGGAGTCACCCCAGCTGGAGCAGCCTCCTCCCAGAGCCCTGTGGGCGGGAAGGCCCGATAAGGCCCGTGTGAAACAGCAGCCTCTGTCCTCAGGAGGGACTGGGGACTAGACCAGCAGGAACTTCCTGCAGGCTTGGGGGCCAGGAGCTCCTTGGGGAGCTGAGGGTGGGGGCAGGTGAGAGCCAGCAGGGCGACCAGTTCTGGTAGGAGGTGGGCTGTGGCCATGGGCTGGGGGGGCTGGCAGGACAGGCAGGGCAGCCCTCAGGACACTGTGGGGCTGGGGGAGGCCGGGGACGGGGCGGGGTGTGCTGAGTCCCTTGGGCCGCCGGCCTGATGGACGCTCCTGTTCACTTCCCGCAGACCTAGAGCCCGAACCAGAGCCCGCACGGCCCCAGACACAGTAAGTGAGCCTCCTTCCTTTGCTTTGGCGGCTGGAAAACGGGGAGAGACTGGGCGGGAGGTGTGAGAAGGGGTGGAGCTGCAGCCGCCGGGGCTCAGGGCAGGCCTTGGCTAAGGACCTACTGGGCCAGAGGGAAGAGGTCAGTCCTGAAACGTGTTGCTTTTTCCTTCACTGTCCCCACGAGCCTGTGAAATACTAAGCAGGTCTTGCTCCACACCCTGGCTTTGCCCCTTGCCGGCTGTATGGCTGGAAGGAGTCACAGAAACACTCCAAAGTCAGGCTGTGTGTGTCAGTCGGTCAGTTGTGTCCAGTCCTTCGTGACCCCACGGACTGTAGCCCACCAGGCTCCTCTGTCCTTGGGGATTCTCCAGGCAAGAATACTGGAATGGGTTGCCATGCCCTTCTTCAGGGGATTTTTCCCTACCCAGGGATCAAACCCGGGTCTCCTGCATTGCAGGCAGATTCTTTACTGTCTGAGCCACAGGGAAACCCCCAAAGTCCGACTGTTTGTATGCACCATAGAAGCAATGAAGTGTCCCCTCCACTGGGTTGTGGCTGGGAATTAACAGCTCTCTGGTGTCACCTGCTGCCGTGGTCTTTGGCATTGCTGCTTATTCTGCTCCCTTTCCTGTGACTGCTGCTGGGGACTCTGCCCTTCTCCACCTGGGAGCCTGTCTGAGGCAGAGCAGCCTAACGGCTGGCAGTCTGGGTATCACGTCACCCTCTGGGCCAGGTCTGGCCACTGTCCTGGTGTCCGTCTCAGCCCTCCAGGTCTTGGTTTTCTTGTCTGTAAAGTGGGCCATTGCCGCCTCCATAGAAGAGTGAAGAACCGTTGGGTCAGACCCCTGGGGACATCGCGGGCACGTAATCAAGGCGGTTTTACCACTGTTCGTCTGTGGTCTTGTCACGTTGGACAGTGCATTTGGGGCTGGGGGCCATGAACCCAAGGGCTCTAGGTGCTTGCTCGTGGCTGCTGACTGCCAGGCTTTGGGGACCCGGGTGTTTAGAGAGTCCACTTCCCTGGTGGCTCAGGTGGTAAAGAATCTGCCTGAAATGCGAGAGACCTGGGTTCCATCCTGGGGTCAGGAAGACCCCCCTGGAGAAGGAAGTGGCTGCCCACTCCAGTATTCTTGCTTGGAGAAGCCCATGGACAGAGGAGTCTGGCGGGCTACAGTCCATGGGGTCTACAGTCCCTGGGGTCGCAAAGGGTGGGACACGACTGAGCGACTTTCACTCTCACTTCTAAGGAAAGCCTCAGTGGTTGATGGCCCGGGCATCTGGGACCTGGAGTTTAAATCCTGGTTCCCTGGTTTGGGAGGTGGGGACGATCTGAGCCTCATTTTGTTTTCTTGGAGTGAGCTGAATCTGGGAAGCTGACTCTCAGGCAGGTGTTGCCAACCTGGAGATGCAGGTTGTGGCCCAGGGCCCCTGGAGCCAAGGCAGTTCTGGATTCAAATTCAAGCCTGGGACACCTTGTTTGTGCTCGTTTGCCTGTGGGAGCAAGTGGACCGCGGGAGGGTTTCTGCTGGGCCTGCCCCTGGGTAACTGATTACCGCCAGAAGCAGGGGCCAGGCTCTCCTCCCTGACTGGGGACCTGAAATGAATCAGTGCTTCCGCACCTGGCCTGGCAGTCCCGCCCTGGGTGATCTCCCAGGGGTTATGTCCCTCCAGGGTGGGCTGGGCGAGAAGCCACCGGCAAACTCCATCTGGGCAGGGATGCAGACGCGTCCAGGCGGGCCCAGGGGACCGGGACACTGTCGGGGGCGGGGGGGGCTGCGGTCTTGGCTGAGCACGGGAGCGTGAATTCGCCAGTGGAGAGAGGGGAGGGGTTTGTGTTCACAAGGAAGCCACTGAGTGGGCACGTGTGTGTGAGTGAGAGAGAAGCGGAGTGGGCGCCCAGCCAGCCAGGGCTCCCCTCCCAGGGGTCTGGCTCTTGGCTCTCTCAGGCCACCCTCACTCCCCGGTCTCTGGGTCAGGACACGGCAGCCCGGCCCAGCCCTGCCCAGGTGTGCCCTGCCACACCTCCGCTGTGTGTCCCGGAGGCTTGGTGACAGCGTCCAGAGGGGAGGGGGTGTCTGGCCGGCGCTGGCCCTGCACAGAGGCCTGGTCGCGGCGGCGCCGGAGCGGGTGCTGTGCTCTCTGAGATGGCCCAGCGCGGGTCGCCGGGTTCTGGGCAGGAGCCCCGCCTCCGCTTTACCCACCGCCCGCCTTCCAGCTGCTTCTGGAGCCAGCCCAGCCCCCGTGAACACCAGCTCCTGGAGCTTCCAGTCCTCCCTGAGCCCTTCGCCAGCTGGGTGGCTCTGGGCTGCCTGTGAAGCTCTCCGGGCCCCAGTGTCTGCCTCTGGAAGGTGGCGATGGCATCCGCCTCAGAGCGTCCTGAGGAATAAGAGGCTGGCGGGGCACGCACTCCGTACCCACACTGGGCTTGCTCCTGACCAGCCCGGATGTTCCCGGTGCCGTGGGCCGGGGGCAGGGTCACCGCGCCTCTGACTCCTGGCTGGGCCTGTTCCGCCAACACCTGCGGTGGTACCAGTGGTTAGAGACCCGCCGGCCAGTGCGGGAGACGCGAGACACAGGGTCCATCCCCGGGTCAGAGAGACCCCCTGCAGGAGGGCGTGGCAGCCCGCTCCGGTGTTCTTGCCTGGAGAGTCCCACGGACGGGGCCTGGCGGGCTACAGTCCACAGGTAACAGGGAGTCAGACATGACTACAGGGCCTTGGCAGGCGTGTGGGTGCCGATCACTGTGCGGTCCCTCACCGGGGCAGACAGTCACGGCCCGCGGAATGTGGGCGTCACTGGGGGTGCTGAGACTAGGAGACTCCTCCTCCAGAGTCTCTGCGGCTCCCAGCTTCGCTTCCTCCCTTTCTTGGTCTCCGTTCACTTACGTTCCAGCTCCTTCTCCGGATGGTGAATTTCCACTCTGGTCTCCTCTGGGAGAAGAGCCATTCCAGACTGCCTTCCTTCTCCTTGTTATCCGAGAGAAAGGAGAAAAAAAATCTTGATTTTCTTTCTTTTTTTTAAAAAAATTTACCCCAACCTAGTCACTAAGCAAACGTTGCTTTGAGAAAAACAAAACTCCCCAGTGGAGGACGTTTCACCTCTTTTCACTCATTTCCTTCACGGCTCCTGCCCCGAGGCTGGGAAATGGCCTTGGGCTCTGCCTGGCTGAGGAGACGCAGGGGCTGCCTGACCCCGGAGCCGACATCAGGGTCGAGCTGCTGCCTCCACGCTGGGGAGGGCGGGAGGCAGGACCGCCCCAGCCTTCCGCATCCCAGGCGGGAGCTGGGTGTGTGAAGTGAGGCCTGGAGTCCGGGGTTCGAGGGCCCGGGAGCTTGGTTCTGAGCTGCACGGAGCTGGCTTCCAGTCTCACCTGTTACTCACCAGCTGTGTGTCACCGGGAAAGTTGTTTTCTGACAGTTCTTTCTTAATCAGTAAAACAGGGATGATAAATCAGTACCATGGGGATAATTCTGTGAGGTGTACATAAATCAACGTTTATTAGGTGCTGTATCCTCCTGGCATGTGTTGGCTGCTCCGGATGGATTTGCTTTCGTTCTTCTGGGGCCTAGTCTGAATGTGGCGTTAGGGGAACTCACTGGGGTCTGCCCCCCAGGCGTCAGCAGCCCTGGGTCGGGTCCATCTCCCTGACCCTGCTACAGAGGATCACAGCTGGGCCGGCTGGGCCTGTGTCACGAGGACTCCCAAGGCTGCTGGGGGGGCCCGGGTGACCTGGTCAGGGCCGCTGGGTCCATCTTTGGCCTTGAGGCCTGAGGACTTCCGGGTCCCTTCACCTGGAGCGGGGGCGTTGCCTGCTGGAGGTGGCCAGGCTGATGGGGAAGCAGAGTTGAGGGCACTGATGCCAGTGTGCTGTGCCAAGGCCCCTGGGGCGATTTCAGGGTCGTCCGCCCGCCTCGGTCCAGGGGTGAGGGTGGCTGGGACTGTGTGCGTCCCTCACAGTGCCCAGCAGGCTGCGGCCGCCTGCTCTCTGCAGCGGGCCACGCTGTCAGATGATAGCGAGCGCAGCAGCAGCTGATGATAGCAATGATGGTGAGTGTTCACGATGATAGCAATGATGGTGGCGTGTTCACTGCGCACCAGGCGCCGAGCTAAGCGCCCAGTCCCATTGCCCCTCCCCTCTCCAGGAACTGCCCGGTTTGTCACCCACTCACAGCTGGGGAGGTCTAGGCTCAGGGAGGTTGGGCTCTGCCCCCCAGGAGTCAGACAGGCCTGGGGTTGCAGTTCAGCTGTGCCTGCTCTTTCTCCAGGGCCTCTCTGAGCAGAGGCCAGCTGTTTGAGCCTCACGCTACCCCTCAAGGGTGCCCTGACGACTCCGGGTCCAGGTTCAGGACCCCAGACCCTGGTTCATGCTGGGGGGTGTGGCCGGCTCCACACGGCCAAGCCCCTCTGTGTGGGTTTACTGGGGGGTAGGAACTCTGCCTCTTGTGAGAGCTGACTTGATCGCTCTGAGCTCTTGGGAGAGCAGTTTTAAGCTGTCACTGGAGAGACGCATAGACCCCATCTGGGGAGCCAGGCAGAGTGGCCTCGACTCTGCCGCTGTGCTTCTGTGTGGGGCCCCTTCCCTTGAGATGGAAGCAGAGTCAGGCAGCCCCCTTTCCTCTGGCCCACGTGGGGTCTTGTGATGCTCGAGGTGGGGGGCGGGGCGGCTTCGTGGGGACAGGCGTTCTTCGCGGTGGCGGGTGGGGGTATTTTGTCTGCCGCTGGGTCCTCACGGCTCAGCGCAGAGCCAGTCCAGGGCCGGTGCTGAAGGCATCCCCACTGAATGAACGAGGGTTCTGATGGGCAGAGGGGCAGGTCTGCAGGGCGATTCTCAGTGTCTGTGAAAAGGAGGCAGAATCTCTGAACCAGGTTCTGGCTCGCGACTAGCGGGGCCGAGGATGGGCCAGCGGGAAGGGAGGCCTCTAGGGCAGAGCGGCTGGCCCGCCGGTGCGGTGGGGTCAGCTGCCTCCCCGAGCGTGTCTCCTGTGCGCGATCTCATCTCC